ACAAAATGATGCTTCCAGTCACCATCTAAAAGGAAATGGGTGCACTAGTCACCATCTAAAAGGAAATGGATGCATCATGCACCATCTAAAAGGATAATAAATAAAAATAGTAATAATAAATAATTAAAAAAAAAGGGAAGTAACACATCTTAGTCAGATATACGTTTTATTTGTATTTAGCACAACATACTGAATAAAATAAAGCATGTCCATTGATATCTCTAAGAAGTTACAAGTGTGTAAAAAAAAAAACAGAAAAGAAAAGAAAAGAAGAAAAGGGCAGCCTTCATGAATGTCACTTATGTGAAGCCTCAGCACTCGGCAGAACCCTAGAAGAAGAAGGCACTAAAGATTGATCATGTGGCGCCTCAATACTTGGTCGAATGCCAGAAAGCGAAGGCAAAAGGTGCCTCTAGAAGAAGGCCACAAACTTCTGATGGTCGCTTTGAATCCGACCTTGAGATTCCTGCATATGATCAAGCTTTCTCTTCATGCTCGTCGAATAATCATTTGCAAGCATGCGTAACTCTTGATTCTTGCGCTTGAGACGTTTGATCTCTCGTCCAAGGATTTTAACCTCGGCTATCTATGAATCAACTTGGCGAGTTCGAGCAAGTAGATGCTGGCCTATGTTGGACACAGAGCCCGTGCACTGAACACTGAGAGCCAGGGAGTTTTGGACAACCAACTCATCGGACCGCCTTGAAAGCAACCTATTATCTCTAAGAGTGATGAGGTTCCTAGCTACAACCGTAGTCGTTGTTACATCCCTCATAACAGAGTCTTCAACTGTAAGAGGGCCATTAGAAGATAAGAAGGACGGGCGCCATACATTACCCTGACGCGGCGCACCTGTGTCACTGCTGAGACTCAAATATAAGCAAATGTTAGACGGGTAAGCCATTTTAAAAAAAAAATGTTAAAAGAAAAAGGTTGGATAGAGTAAAAGCTCAGAAATACACCGGAGATGATTTTCACGAGCAGGCAATCTTCAAAGTGTGCATGTTGAATACGATTGACACCTCTTTAAAAGGAGAGGCAACACAACCACTTGTTCAAAACTCGAAGAGACACCACTCTTCGAATTTCAAAAGCCAGATTTTCCTGTGTAAAGTCCGTCAACACTTTTCAGACACAATCTCAGCTTTTCGGCTATCACGTGCAACTTTGTCAAATATGACTGACAGAGTTGAAAACGTGCGAAGTTCATTATTCCAACTACCACACTTTTGGCCGACAAGTGTGGGTGACAAGGCCGCGTCCGCACTACCACTTGCTATTGGGAAATCACTATATAGTTCGACCTCTATCCTCTATGGCAAGGCACACATCCAAAACGCCTGACTTTTCCTCCTTGCCAAATGCATCTACAACCAAACTCTTCAACATACTCAGTTTTCTTCCTCTCTGGAAACACCTCTTCAACCAAGTCACACCAGAGCAAAAGTATCTCATATCACTAGGACTGAAAGCAAGAGTATCTCATAGCATGCTTTCTCCCTATCATTTTCTTTATCCTTGTTCTTCTCTACAGGGTAAGGAGAAAGAGAGTAATTAGTCGGCGTTTGGAATCAGTCTTCCAATTTGGAACCAACTGCCTGTAATCCCTTCCCTGATTGCCCGCCTAGCACTGCTTTCAAGTACTCATCTTCAGTTGTTGATGCACTGTCAAAGAAGATACCAGATGCCTGGAGAACAGATGAGGCAAGTGAAAATGATGCATCGAAACATGTGGAGACAAGTGCAACAAATACATGTGCTGATCATCCGCTACTTCTTCAAAAGCAAAAGTATCTCATATCATCAGGGTCGAAAGCAAAGGTATCTTATATCATGTTTTTCCCCTATCCTTTCCTTTGCCCTTGCTCTTGCTTGCAGAATAAGGAGAAAGAAAGCAATTAGTCGGAACCTGAAATCAAACTTCCGATAGGGAACTGATTGCTCGGAACCTTTGCCTGGTTGCTTACCTAGCATTGCTCTCAAGTGCTCATCTTCAACTGTTGACGGGTCTCAAATTTCCTCGACAAATACTTTAAGATAGTTGATATGGTGTTCACTCTTTACACTGAAGTTGCCAAGCATGGATGAGTGGCTGAAAAGTGATACTCTGAATGACCATTTAAAGGCAAAGGGTTACGCACCACTTCGGCTATGCAAAAGAAACAAGCAGAGAAGAATGCAGCACAATGAGCCGGAACAAATCACTGCAGCACGACCCCCGTCCATGCAGAACCACATAATCCAGATAGAGGGATTTAAGTCAAATCCAAGCTCAACATCATTGTTCTAATCAAAGAGCTCGAGAAGCCTCAACAACCTTCCACTGGCACCGTCGCCAAAAAACAAAGCCTCACCGTGCAACGCCATTAAATCACAACTACTTCTTCAAAAGCAAAAGTATCTCATATCATGCTTTCTTCCTGTCCTTTTCTTTGTCCTTGTTCTTACTCACAGGACAATAAGAAGGAGAGCAATCAGTTGGCACTTGGAGTCAGCCTTCCGATCTGGAACCGACTGCCTGGAACCTCTTCCCCGATTGCTTACCTAGCATTGCTCTCGAGTAGTCGTCTTCAACGGTTGATACACTTCCAGAGAAGATGTCGCATCTGCCTGGAGAACAGATAAGACGAGTGACAATGAAACATCAATCTTGTGGATCATCAGCAAACGCGACAACTGCAAGTGCTGATTCATCCCCTAACCCTTTTCAATATGAATTGGAAAGATTGAACAAAGGAACAGACCATCACATCCACCTCGTGCCTGCCTGGCAGGTGTTCAAACCCTGAAAAATACTCAAGATCAAGCCCCAACGACCCTTGAAGAAATCACAAGTCTGATTCAAAATCAAGTGTTCACCACCCTTGAATCAAAATCAGCTCTAGATAAAAGGAGTAAGTTCGAACCTCTAAAGGAAACCAGAAAACCTTCCAACCTAGTTCAAGATCAAAGCTGTGAAAAGTCAACAAGCGCGACAAAATACATACCGATTCATCCACTACCAAAGCCAAATATCATCTACCACATGAAACTCCTGGTGGTCCAATTTCATCCAAGATCAAGCCTCAACGGCCCTTGAAGAACTTCCAGCCCAATTCAAGATCAAACCTCAACGTCCCTTGGATCGACATCTAAATTAAGGGACTTCAAAAAGCATCTTTTACACTTGACAAGCACATGTATACAACGCGCCTTGAAGTGGGGGCATTTGTAGACATTGAAATTTCGGTGAAATAAATGTTGACAATTGTATTAAAATTACAACCTCCATTCATTTCACCGACATCATACATTCATTTCACATACATCATACACTCACCTCACCTACAATATCCACTCAATTCACCTACAACAATCCACCCAATCCACCTACAACATCCACCAAAACAAAAGGATGGTAGTAATTCATTCTCAAAGCCTATAAATAGGCCTCCCCATCAAAGGATAAAAAAAAGATTGGACATACACTTTCTCTACTCTCAAGCAAATCCCGAAGAATCAAGAAAGCCCTCTTCATTCTTCATGAAATCCTCCTTCAAGATCAAGCCCCAACGGCCCTTGAAGAACTTCCACCAATTCAAGATCAAGCATCGACGGCCCTTGAAGAAAGTTTCATCATTCAATCGTTCATCCAGGATCAAGCCCCGATGGCCCTTGAATCAACAACACAACCCATAAATTTACACATTACGAAGATCGAATCAGAGGCTAAATTTGTAGAAGAGATTGTAACCCCTAAATCATTAATACAAATATTATTTTGTACACGTGTTCTTGTCTCGTTCACTGCAGGAATTTCTGTGTTTACAGTTTTGTTAGTACAAATTCGTCAAGACTGAAGACGGTAAATTTTCGCTACCACAAATTGTTGGTTTCATTGAGAGCTTGATTCAAATACTAGAAGAAGGCTCTCGCAATTTTTTTGGAATTTCCTGTTACGTTGAATTTCTCGTATGCTCCTAGTCATAAATGTGCACGGATTACTATGCTTTAAAAATAAAAAATAAAAATAAAAAACTTTTTTTGGAGTAGAAAAATTTATCATAAATCCATTCTTTAATAATCCCAGGTTAAAAATTTAATCTTAAACGGTTGGAGCAGAAAAATTATTTCTGAATTAAAACCTAAATTTTTTAATTTTTACTCCAGAGTTGGAGATGGTGAAGATTCTCGGAAGAAACTAGTGATGATTGCCATGAATGCTGCCCTCGAGGATGTGTACAAGAGGGTCTTTGCCGATTCCTATCAACATGGTGCACCTCTCAAGGATGAGACTTTGACCGAATGAATAGGGATCAATTGATAGACATTTTTATTGAGGAAGAGAATCCAGGATGAATGCTTTTTTCGTTTGCTGACTAGATGCGTACTTCCCTCTCTACCGATCCTGAGTTCGTATGACTCACCCCTGACTTATGATTCGCATGTTCATGCTCATCTCCTCCTTCAGTCTTTTTCTTGTTATGAATGAGCGAAGTGGGAGGACAGTAGTTAATTTTTTTTTTGTTTTACCAAACACAAAGCTCATCTCCCCGACTGCTAGTCCGACTCCACATCCAGTTACAAGCTCTCTTCACCGAAGAACGATGCTGCCTAAGAAACCTCATCGAATCTCGTGATTTCACGAACCACCGGCTTCTCGCAATTTCACAAACCTGTACCATTGCCGCTGACTTCTCTAACCTAAATCAAGCGTGCTGCTTCAACCAAGAACACGAAGTTGGTCTCAGCTGACTTCTGTAATCGGAATCGCCGACGATTCCGGTGATGTCTGGCCTCGATGTTGGTGTCAAATGACTCATCATCACCCGAGATACTTTCTAGGCCCATTGGATGTGAAGATCTTATTCAAATTTGTGATTTAATATAATTGAATTTTAGTAAATTTTTCATAAAAAAATGTCGTACCCAGTGCACAAGGCTCCCGCTTTACGCAGGGTCTGGGAGAGGTGAATGTCGGCTAGCCTTACCCCCATTTATGGAGAGGCTGCTCCCAAGTCTCGAACCCGAGACCTACCGCTCATGGGCGAAGGCACTTACCCCCATTTAGTAAATTTTTCATGATTTTGTAAAAATAAATTCGTTTAAATTTCTGAGCTTTGGAGGGTATTTCATTTAACTCATGGGTTTTTTGACGTTTTTATCTGAGATTTTTTTTTTCCTAGATTCTGTAGCATACTAAGATTAAATTTGTGAGTTTCGTAGTGGTATTTTTTCTGTGCATTTTTGGTGAACTTGGTTGTGGGTTTTGATGTTTGTCTGCAGCAGGGAAAGGGACGAAATCATTCCACGCCCCTCCAACAGTTCCTGATTCTGATTGTGCACTGCCAACTCGCGAACCAAGTGCTATTTCAGCACCTGCAGGAGATGAACGAAGCGAGATGGTATAGTTTTCTGTAATTTTTACTATTGCTGTATGTAAATGATCAAATCCAAATGTCTTTGAGCTCCTTACAAATTCAATTTCCTGACTGATTTTCCTTTTTTTCAATTTGAATTCAACTCTGTCCGATCATATTTTCTTACATGGTTAGCATCAGAAACCACTACTCCACAATTCCAGAAAGTTAAATAAAATAGATCAACCCTCTTTCAGTTTTTCCTCTATGTTACAAACAAGTGTATTGCCATCTGCATCGAATATGTGTAATTTACTTGTGATGCGGAAGCTTGAGAGGTCCTCTAGAAATGCAGCACTATCTAATTTAGTTGATTCAATCAAAGCATAAAAGCAAACTCACATACAGAAATTATATCAAGCAACTGGCTATTCAATCAAAAGTTAACACAGCAAAATGTTAACCTAAAACCCTCTCTTATATGGCTACATTGATGTCAACAACCTTTTAGTTTGTTAGTCTTCACCGGTTCAGTGGCATCTTTGTAATGATCGTCGTTATGAACCCGGTCTTCTCTCCAGAGGGTCTGCTCAGTTGATTGGTAGAATAAGGTCCCAATATCTCTACCTCTATTTACACACACACACACACACACACACACACATATATATATATATATATATATATATATGTATGTATGGATAGCTGCTTCGATGTTCACTTGGTGTACATATTTTAGACACAAAGCACCTTTGAAAGTTTACTGTTATTAATGTGAGTTAGTTTGTTCTTTGTTACTATTAAACTAATTTGTGGACCCTAATTTCTACGAGAGCATCTCATTATCGTGGAAAAAATAAATCATAAAATTAAAGAGGAGGGCTTGATCATAACTCTTTAATTTACATGAACAACCTTTACATTTCTGCTAAATATTAATTGGTGTTGGACCTCTTGTTACACGTAACATGTGATATTCTTTTTGTTTGCTAAAAAGAAAGTGATTCATTATATATGCATGGTGTGTGTGAGTTAGTACAGAGCTAATAGGTGAATCTACATAGAAGAGCATTTATAGACCTGCTGCTGGATGTGGAATTTTGCTTTCTTTTTTTTTAGCAATAACACTTACAATCTTGGATTCTATTACACCAAAAGCAGATCAAGTTTTAGGTGAAATTTATCATGATTTTGTAGTTTTATTGGTGTTAATTATCCTGGACAAACACCGTGATGTCTTTGCTAATGAGTAGTCTACAAGGTCCTTTGGTCCGAAAGAGTTTCAGCAGCTAGGCAGTTACCACAGTCGTTGAGTACTTCCATGTGCTTCCTTATGCTGGGATTTTGTTAGACTCGTATCCCAGGTGCGTATTTTATCTTCATATATTTCATAGTTTTATTTAGTTTTGATAAATAATCAGCTAGAAACACATTCAGTTGGGCGAATTCTGCATTGTGACATACATGACATAGGAGTTATGCTCTGTTTGTGATTAAGGATGGTTGTTCTGTTTTCTCATATGTACATTAATACTGTGAAATGTTGAGTAAAAATCAATTTAGGGGAACTATATACTGGTAGAGATGTGCATATTAATCCTGCCTAAAGTAAAATTTTAAAATCTGGCATAGTGAAAATCTAATAGAGAATATGAGAAACCCAACTTAATTTTATGAATTTGTTTTGGTGCCTGCAAATGAAATCTGGCATAGTGAAAGTTTGTGTACTGAAATTATGACAAATTTTCCTTCATCTTTAGATTTTCATTCAATTCAATTCATATGCAATTTAGTGTGATTCAATTCATAAGTGATCAAATTCTATTTTTAATTCCTTCTTTCTTTTGATTTTCAGTTCAACGTTGTCGTACAAAACGAATGAGACATCATTAACGGAGCTATGGATTTGGGTGTCTTTAGTGAAACAAAACTGGATTGTTTTAACTTTTGTATAGTTGTAAGCATAAAAGAATCTCTGGGATAGAGCCATAGCTTTTGAAAAACAGTCCTTAAGGATGGCATACCAACATTCCCAATTTTTTTCATGTAATATATGAATGTAAATAGCACTTCCTTAACACATGAATGTAATATATGTACATAAATACCACTCTGTGGCACATATATTCGAGACTTCTACGTATTCAATAATGTTTTCAAATGTCACAACAACGTGGGGGTACCCTTGCTAGTTTTGTACAAAACATCATTTTATGCAAATCTGTGGTATCAACTACATGCTCAAATTAAGAATAAGTTGAGAACGTGGCTTTTAAGAAAGGAAAATGATAAACACATACTATTTTTTTCCTCTATACACCTATGTTTAATCATGTTTATTGATTTATTCAACTCGTTGTTTAGAAATAAAGAAGGAGGTGTGATAAGCTAATTAAAAAAGGTGTGAAATCCAGTTTCCTTAAGAAACCAAGAGAAATGTAAAAGGAGAAAACGAGATACTTCACAGTTTCATTATGCACTCTTTGTTAAAAAAGGAAAAATAAAAAAGGCTTTTTAGCCAAAATGGTCATCGAGATTTGCATAACGCATCAATTTGGTTCCTGAAATTTAAAATCAATAGAAGTAGTTCCTGAAATTGTTCACCATCCATCATTTTGGTCATTCTATTAAAAAGCTCCGTTAAGTTGAGGGTATTTTTATCAAATCAAATTCTCCACTTGCTTTTTCACCATTTTCTCTCATTTCCCTCATATGTTGCTGATTTTGGCAGTGAAATCAAATTTTCACCCATTATTAAAAACAATTTGGCGCCAAATTCAAGTAAATCATCGCAAATGATCCCTGACTTTTTTCCCTTTCGTTAATTTTTGGAAAAAAAAATCTGCACAATTTGCACACTTGAATATAAATGAAATGGATGGTTCAAAGTATGGTATATCTACAGACAAGGCTAAATCAATAGAATTACCGAAAAGAGATACCATGTTCCATTACATGAGATTTTCAACATGACCATCATTATAACTTACAAAATATTCAAATGTTCAACATCAAAAAAAAATAAAAAAATATCCCACATGTTTAACAGTAAGATCAAACTCTAAATGTTCAACTGTTCTAATTCACAAAAAGAAGAAAATAAATGGTTGTAGCTTGTTTTCTTCCATTTGTGCAGCAACATCCAAACTACAAACTCCCTCCATACTCAAGGCTTCTAGGGCTTGCCTCTCTTTGCAGGTGATTTGTACCTTTTGTTGGTAGATTGTGATTGTGGTGACACCACTTGGGAAGTGATGCCAATGCAGCCTTGTACCTATTAGTCACCTTATAAAATCCAAATCATACTCCTTTTAACACAATTTACACAAATTATTATTAAAAAAAAGGTAAAGAATAAACAATACAAAAACTAAAGGACTGCATAAAAAAAATTAAAAAAAAAACTAAGGGACTATTGAATGTACCATTTAAACTTGTCGGGTAGGCTGTGAGTTAGATACTACTATTCTAATGCCTCTCCCTCTTCCCATGCCTCTGCCCCCTTCCCACCTACATTATCAACCAATTTAATGAACTTCACTTTCATTATCAAAAACTACAATTTAAGAACAAAAATACAATATAAAACAGATTATACCTCTAGTATAGATGTGTTAACAACGGAATGATTTGGCTCTTGAGTTGCTATTTTAAAATGACCTCAATGCCTATGATCAATCTCTGTGTTCAACAATGTGCTGTGAGGAAGATCTCCTCAAGTCACATATGAAATCAACGGCACCGTGACATCATTTGTCAAAATAGTGTCACGTCCACAAAGTAAAAAAGAAAACGACCTCGCAAGATGTTAAGATGGGTGTAGGAAGGATGTGGAGTGGTGTTTTTGTTTCCTCCAAGCTCGTTGAACAATTGTTAGGAATGGTTGTAAGATTGTTTGATGAAGCGGCGCTCGATCTATTACGATGACGTGCATCATTTTTGACAACATGATTGTAGAAGATAATTGATTATTTATTTCGTAGAGGTTTACGTAAAAACGTCAACGATTACTGTCTTATTTGTTAAAGAAAAATAAAATATGTTAAAAATAATTAATTAATTGGTTGGATATTCAGGAATCAAAAACTCTTTAATTTTATGAATGCATTATAAATTATTTAATTTATTTGATCTTGAATTTTAATGAACATTTTTTTTCATTTTCAACAACAATTCATGAAAGAATGAATTGAGAAAAAACATATGAATATATTGGTTACAAGAAAGGAGGTGGATTGTCTGACCTCCCATTTCCATACTCTTATCATCTCCTCCTGTGTGACCATACAAAACAGAATGAAATGGAAAGAGTATGGAAATAAGAGACCAGACAATCAACCTCACCTCATGATAGTCAAAATGGGTCTCCACCACCCATAAATGATGGTATTCTTTGACTAATCATTACTTGAGATGGTAAAGACTTTATTGAAAGTGAACCAATATTGAGTTATTTACACCAAAGAATGGAAAATGGAGAAAATTACGAAAAATTGAATAATTGTACCATATTTGCCTTATGTAACATGGTCACTGATGTGTTTGCAGTCGTGTGACTTGACTTATGAATGTCATCAATTGGTGTTGACTGACTAGTAGAGTCTTCATTCCACAAGTTCTTTTTATGTGGCTTTCATGTCCACGTTGATAACAAGCATACGGTCTGTGCGAAGGGTCTGTGCTGGTGAAGAAATTTTTTCAGTGCGATCGGAACATAAAGTATTACATCACGTATCATTATACAAATAATGAGATATATGTATTAAAAAATAAAATTTATCACCACTTATATAAAAACACATAGTATACCATATGTATTACGATCACAATGAAAAATTTCTCGTGTTACACCATGTATGATTTTCCTAGCTCACCACATACAACCGACGGTCCTGATTTAACTTACACACTAATCAACGATCCAAATTGCTTGATGACAAGGCTCCGAACACTATATTTCAGAGCGGATCCTCTTCCAAGTTTTTGGTGTCAGCTAACTATGGAGGTCATTCACACCCTAAGTTCCAGGTTAGCCAGCTACGGAGGACCTTCACTCCGTGTTCCAAGTGTCAGCCATCTATGGAGGCGCTTCACCCCATGCTCCAAGTGTCAGCAAGCTCTGAAGGCCCTTCACTCCATAATTTCAGGTTTGGTGCCTCCAGGCTGGCAGAATTACGTGTCAACCATTTGTAGTGTCTGCACTGGCGGAGCCTATCATGGGCTAAAGCCGAGATAGCTTTCGGTGAAAATAGAAAACTTTACATATAATTTTCATTAATTTCCGAATGTGATCTATCATTTATCTAGCCACTAAGCCTAATCATCTTAGTTTAATTATATAAGATTATATCTTACAATTCATAAGCCATCTTTTTTCCACTCTTTTTCTCATCACTTCTCGGCATATTTGTTTTAACTTGTTTAAATTTTAATACGTAATTTTTTTGGTAAACAAATTAGGCTAAACGCCTAATAAAGAGAAACTAAAGCAAATGATCACAAGGTCTATAGATTTCAGCAGCATCTGACACCAAGAGATGTCGACAAGAGATAGGAGCTACAGCGAAATAAACTGGACCAAAAGAATATGACAAACTCAAGTTAGCCAATTCCTCAGCCACAAAATGCATCTCATCATAAACATGACCAAGTTCATGATTCCAATCTTTGTTTAACAACTCACGGCAAACCTGCACCAATTCACCAAGAGTGGTTCTCACTCACACCTTGAAGAACTATATGGACAATGAGAACAAAATCATATTCCAATTTTACACGTATTTGTTTAATAATAAAAAATTTTGGTTCATCATGGGAAAATTTTCTTAGACTAGTTGATAGTGTGAAAAAATATAGGAAAACTAACGAAAAGTTCAAAAAAAACTTTAGTTTTAATGAAAAATGACAAATAAAGGTATAGTGAATAGTATCATAGAAAGGTAAAAATGTGATTTTTCGTTAAAAATGAACAATATCGAAAGTATTTTATTAAAACTCCCAAAAAAAATATTGTATGCTTCTTCGTTTATAAAATTTAAATCTTAAGCTAGCCCACTCGGTAAAGGCTCTATCCTTGTTCATCGTCACGTGTCTTTTCTTGTTCAATAATGCATTATCATGTACAATTTATCTTTCACATTGTAATGTATTATTAACTCTAAACACCACGTAACGGTAAATATATTTTATGTAAATTGCTCTTCTAATATAATATATTAGTCAAGAGCTGACTGTGCCGCATACGCTTAGGCTAGTGGCTCTATTATTTGCCTTGAACTAGACAGCAAAGTCGAGTCTATTAGAAATTGAGTTATTTATTTGAAAGAAAAAAAAATTAGAATGAGTTGATTGATTTTTTTTATATTTATTTTCTGTTGACATGCATATTTTTATGGGGTCATTTTGATAGGACACTTGGATGGGATAGCGATGGTAACACCTCTTGCAGCCTGCAGGTCAATGGTAGAGTCCACTTGGACGTCTTGAATCGTTCAACTAAGAAACACTTTGAAGCAAAACCTCATGGAAAGTTAGGGAAGACCTACGATAGTCTTTGAAGAAAATTCTATAGTTTCCATCTTTTATATATATATATATATATATATATATATATATATAACTATTATTGGAATTAAAATTTTATCTGTGCACTTTTTTTAAGAGTATTATTTTATTATATAAGAAATTATTGTTGTTACTCTAATTCAGCAATAGCTTCTAACTTAATGTTTAGATTTCTTGCAGACGGAGTTGCAATAGCTTCTAACTGAATGGCAGGCAAGTAATCATCACTTCTCTTGGCATTTGAAGAAAGAAACATTCGGGACAAATATTGTGATGATATATTTAGCACCAATAATCTGAAACAAATTTGTTTGTTTCTGTTGATGCACAAAATCAGTGAGAACTTTGGTACAATAGAAAGTGTTAAGTTTGTAACCTTCTTTAGATTGCTCCGGTCACTAGTGTGGATAAATATGTAAATGGATAGAGACAAGGAAGCAAACACAAGATGTACGTGGTTCACTCAGATTGGCTAAGTCCACAGAGTAGAAAAGTTCTCATTAATTGTGAAGGGTTTACACAAGTACATAGGTTCAAGCTCTCCTTTAGTGAGTACTAGT